GTATCTCAGGTAAAACACTGTTATACGGAGTATATAACACCGTTAACGGTACAATTCAACTGAACGATAGCTAACTGTTAAGGAAGTGAAATACTTTGTACCCCATGGGCAGAGTACAAAATAACAAAGCATGAAAGAGTAATTAATGTGAAAACCGTCCTTCATAAGATAGGTTAAGATTATCATTGTAATTGTAATTCAAATTATAGTTATATAAGTAATACTTGTAATAATTAAAAATATAATTGCAATTATAATTATATATATAGTTATAATAAGTGTAATACATATAATTGTTATAGCTTTAATTATAATTATAATTATAATTATTATATAATTTTTATAATTATTATTATAGTTATAATTTTATTTAAATTATATTTGTAATTGTAATTATAATATTTATAATTATAATTATAATTATAAAAAATACTCAAATCAGATCCGATCAGAAATATTCATATCAGATCAGGCCAGATCAGAAAGATTCAAATCAGATTAGAAAAATTCAGATCAGATCAGATCAGAAATGTTCAGATCAGAAAAATTCAGATCAGATCAGATCAGAACTTAAAAAAATTAGATCATAAACATTTAGATCAGGCGAAGAGAACAGCTTCTAAGTTCTTACTTTTCTCGCGGTGTAGGATATAATATTTTAGATAACCAAACTGATCTCCAGGCGACAAGTTACTAAATTATTGACAAAATAAGCGAGCGCACAGCCCCTTAATCATTACTAATCTTTGAACGAACAATTAGGTTTGTGTGGAAGTGTCATTGAATAATTTAGATCTCTCTTAAATTATTGTATGTGCAATTATAATCCTAGCTGCAATTCCAGGTTACAAAAGATATCGATTAAATTATTCAAATACGAATTACATAAATAATCATGCAGTTAAACTCTCAAGAACAAATCCTAGATCATGCTTAACACCCCTTCATCAATCTCAAATCATCAATTAAATTTATTCACAATTCGTAATTAACATATCAATAGAATTGAGAAGGAAATAATTAATTATCATTAATTAAAAAATAGAACTTACAAATAATTCATTAAAGATCCAAAGTTGAAAACCTCTCAAAATTTCGTCCTAGACACTCTATAATCTCTCAAATTAAAAATTTAATTACAATTATAATTATATATATAGTTATAATAAGTGTAATACGTATAATATAAATTGTATAATTGTTATAGCTCTAATTATAATTATATTTATAATTATTATATATTTTTTTATAATTATGATTATAGTTATAATTTTATTTAAAATATATTTGTAGTTGTAATTATAATATTTATTATTATAATTATAATTATAAAAAATAGGAAAAATTGATTGTAATACTCTCAACTATTGGCGGTCCGCTCATAATAATCCCAACTATCAATTATTTCATAATAACCCCAACTATAGGCACCTTCCGCCAATAATGGTCCCTATAAATAAATTCTTGTAGTTTCTAAAGTGGATGAGAAGAGATATAGCAAGTAATCCCTATAAATAATCCAAACTTTTAATTTTGACGATTAATTTCTATTTAAAAATCACTTGTTATAGGAGGTAATATATGGTCATGGACCATTATTGGCGGACGGTCCATATAGTTGGGATTATACAAAAATAATCAATAGTTGGGATTATTGTCAGCAGACCCGGCAATAGTTGGGATTATTATTTTCAATTTTTCCTAAAAAATATTCAAATCAGATCAGATCAGAAATATTCAGATCAGATCAGACCAGATCAGAAAGATTCAGATCAGATCAGATCAGAAAAATTCAGATCAGATCATATCATAAATGTTCATATAAGATCAAATCAGAAAAATTCAGATCAGATCATATCATAAATGTTCATATCAGATCAGATCAGAAAAATCCGGATTAGATCATATCAGAACTTAAAAAATTCATATCAGAAACATTCAGATCAAACGAAGAGAACAACTTCTAACTTCTTACTTTTCTCGCGGTGTAGAGTATAATATTTTAGATAACCAAGCTGATCTCCAGGCGACAAGTTACTAAATTATTGACAAGATAAGCGAGCGCACGACCCCTTAATCATTACTAATATCTGAACGAACAATTAGGTTTGTGTGGAAGTGTCATTGAATAATTTAGATCTCTCTTAAATTATTGTATGTGCAATTATAATCCTAGCTGCAATTCCAGGTTACAAAAGATATCAATTAAATTATTCAACTATAAATTACATAAATAATCATGCAATTAAACTCTCAAGAACAAACCCTAGATCATGCTTAACACCCCTTCATCAATCTCAAATCATCAATTCAATTTATTCACAATTCATAATTGACATGTCAATAGAATTGAGAAGGAAAGAATTAATTATTATTAATTAAAAAATAGAACTTACAAATAATTCATTAAAGAGCCAAAGTTGAAAACCTCTCAAAATTTCGTCCTAGACACTCTATAAGCTCTCACCCCCAAAACAGGGGTTTACATGCTGGTTAAATAGAAAGCAGAGCAATTCTGGCCAAAAAGGGGCCTATGGAGCGTACACACGGTGTGCGTGGAGTCCGTGCATCCGGGGTAAAAATACGGAAAAGTTGTCACGCACGGCATTCGTCCCTATCACGCACACGTGCCTGGCCTCCATTGAGTTCACCGTAAATCTTCTTTTCGCTCACAGAGTGAGCATCTCCTGTCCGAATTTGACTATGTTTCCTTCACAAATGTTGTAGCTAATGAAGTCCTTCCTATATTCATCGGATCCGGTGCCTCTGCCTTGCTTTAAAGCAAGGTAGGGTGCCCGGCTCTTCCGGGCCGTTCAATCGGAGATTGGACGGTCAAAGATCTTGGGCTTCACTCCTTCCCCGATCTCGAGGCCGTCTTCTTCCCCTCCCTGCCGTCGGATGCCGCAAGGCACTCTGCCTTATGGCAGAGGATCTGAATCCATATTCATCACCACTTGAAAAATTGTAGTTGGATCATCCAATCAAAATATATGGTTAAAATGGTGGAATATCGCATCCTAAAATCTCAACAGCGGCTATCTGACTTCCTCGTCTGTTTTCACCTTGATCTTCTCACATTCTCGTAATGGTGTCATTATTACATTTGTAACCCATTGTGTCATTTGAAGTTTTCTATGAAAAGATATGCTCCAATGATTGATAAGCTAAGACATCATCCTGATCACCATTTTGAAGCTATATTCGTCCCCATACTTGATCCTTGAGCTCAATTGACTTCAAAAATGAATCTTTAATGACTCGCAAACCTTCAATGGCTCTTATCAACTCTCAATTGTGTCTCAAATCTCCCCAAACAATTCTCTCACGCGTGGTGACGGGCTTAGTTCCCTGATTGTCACTCTAAAAATACCAAAAACAAACAAAAAACCAGTAAACTATGACTTCAGCTAATTATGTGCTTTGTGACACATTTAAATTAGAAAAATTGTTAAAAACCATTCCCAACACGCATCAAATGTGTGTTGAAATATGGACTTATTGATGGCCAAAACGCCGCCAAAAACAGTCGCCGCAAATGATCACCCGTTCAATGGTAGTTACACCATTGTCCTAGTTACAATTACACCACCGTCTTAGTCACAATTACACCACCGTCCTAATTAAGGAATGCAATGGGGGCGGGGCCCCGTGGGGGAACCGCCCCATGGGGTGAGGATGGGGTGGGGTTTGGGGCGGGGTGGGGACGGGGATGGGTGGGATATTTATACCCCGTTAAAATATGGAGTGGGGGGTGGGGATTGCTACACCCTCCCCGTCCCCGTTATATATATATATATATGTATATATATATAAACTCAAACATACATATATATACAAACATACATACACATAAATAATGTATAACCTTATTTAAGTAAATTATAGAGTATGTAGTACGAGGTATATAACAAACACATGCATACACATATAGACATATATAAATGTACATGTGTGTCTAATTGTGTATTAGTTATGACTAATGAATTAATAAATATTACATCATAATAATAATACGTAATAAATAAAAATACTTATCATAAATGTTATATGAGTACTGTTAAAAGTGAGAAAGTGAGTAAATAGAACACATATGCATATTTAAGTATAATATACTCTGTATATAATTAATTGTATTCTAATTGATGAGAAATTTGTAATGACATACATGATGATAATATATTTTACTTATTTTTTTACTTTTTTGACTCAAATTAAAGAATTATTAAAAATTGAAGGAATTAACTTTTATCAAACACGATATTATCTAGCTTACTTCTTTTAGTGATGTGTGTGTACACACACACACACACACACACACACACACAAATGTTCATGTCCGGAATTCCGGACAGGAACCGCCGTCCATACAGCGGCGTTTGGCCGCCTTCCCGGTCGTATTTTTTGATGAAATTTTTATGGCATGTTCTCCATCAAGTCTAGTTTATCCACAAAAAACTTCAGCCAAAAACTCAATCGGGAAGGTCGTCAAATGAGTTTTGCAAGTTAACTGGTCCGGAATATGTATTTTCCGGTTCAGTTAACTTGCAAAAATCATTTGACGACCTTGCCGAATGAGTTTTTGTCTGAAAGTTTTTGTGGATAAACTAGACTTGATGTAGAACATGTCATAAAAATTTCATCAAAAAATTTCACCCGGAAGGCGGCCAAACGCCGCCGTCCGGACGGCGGTTCCGGTCAGGAATTCCTGACCAGAAGAGTACTATATATATATATATATATATATATATATATATATATATATATATATATATCTTTAAAATGGGTTAAAATATATGCAAATAAAATACTCCCTCCATCCCATTTAAAGGTTCCCGTCCACATTCTCCGGTCAACGTGCATTGTTCTTAATCTTTACTTTATAGTTTATATAGTTTTTATATATATATATATATATATATATATATATATATATATATTAATTGAAATACCAGATTTTATTTAAGAAAAGAAAAGGGGATTACAACCAGAGGAGGGGGGGGGGGGACATGAGGCCTAACCCTGAGATTGAAATATAAATACATTAATAGTGAAAGAATGGAAGGCCCAAAGCGTCAATTCTGAGTGCTTCCTTTACTTTGGCCGGCAGTGCGTCATGAGTCCAAAATGTAAGTCGTTCACTTTCCTTAGGTAAGTGACGGGCCATGTGGTGGGCCGGTCCATTCGTTTCCCTGTAGGTGTGAGTGAAAAAGTGATCTCCCCTAAAAGCACACGTTCTTAGTTCCTCCATGAGTTTTCTATTTTGGCCTGATAGTTTCCCGTATTTGATGAGGGAAATGCTAAGTTTAGAGTCTGATTCAAAGGTGACCTTGGTGAAGCCTTGCTCTGAAATCCACATAGCTGCCTGATGGATCGCCTGTAATTCTGCATCAAGTACGGAATCGGCCGAGGTGTTGAAGCAGAGTGCTAAGATGAAATGTCCCAAGTGGTTTCGAAGGATAGCTCGTGCTCTTGATCTGCCGGGTTCGTAAGCTGCATCAATGTTAAGTTTGAAAGAATTTTTGGCTTAAGCCATTTAATGAGTTTAACTTTCCCTGCAAAAAAAGAAAAGTTAGGGTGAATAAAATTTTCCTCTTTGAGCATGTCGCATTGATTGTTGATGTTCCTTATCCGAAGATTCCATGACCAGTCTTGAGTGAAGTGTTTGATTTGTTGAATAACTCTATCTGGTTTAAAGGTGTGCCATGAGGAGTCCCAATTGTATTCTGCATAATGTTTCCATATATGCCAAGAGATGATTCCTGGTAGGTTGATCTTGAAGGTGTCCATCAAAGTAGTGCCCCTAACTTCCAGCCACCAGGAAAAATAAATTTGTCTAGGAGAGCACAGGAAATTAGGGCGATTAATATGAAAAAGACCCATAAAATAGTGCCAAATAGGAGAGATAATGGGGCAGTGGTAGAATATGTGTGAGGAGAGGGCACTGTCTTTTCTGCAGAAACGGCAGAGTGAGGGTAGTGTAGAAATTTGGAGTTTGATAAGGTTTTTTGGTAAGGGCAGAAGGTTATTAAGTTGTTTCCATTGGAAAAGTTTTACTTTCATGTGTTGTTGTTTGTTCCAGGTGTGAATAACAGAGAAAGTAGATGGTTGACATTGTCTAACTTCGTCATAAGCTGATGAGAAGCTGAACTTACCATCTTTAGTGGGCTGCCAAATTATGCCCCCCGAGGAGTTAGTTGAGGTAAGTGAAAAACCTTGGTGATTGACCGAGCAAATTCTCTTCCAAATGGTCGAGTCTGTGGGTTTAGGGGGTATTAGGGGTCCTCTAGGGTATTTGCAGTGAGTGAGTTTGGCCCATATATAACTTTTATTAAATTTCATTTTTTTGTCAGGTATTATAGAACTTTTAATGTAGTTTCTGAATATGTAAATTTTATTTACTAAAAATAATTCTACTAATGACAGGGATCAGTGAACTTTATGGTTAGTCAAACATCGTAAACCGCGTGGGAACCTTTAAATAGGACGGAGGGAGTAAATAAAATCTATATGGGGGCACTCGTGGGCCCCGTGGGGGACACTGGGGCGGGGCGGGGATGGGGCGGGGATGGGAGTAGCGGGGGATGGGGTGGGGATGGGGGAAACTTTTTAGACATGGGGCGGGGGATGGGGGAGCGAACCCCCGCCCCAAACCCGCCCCGTTTCCATCCCTAGTCCTAATTATAAACATACAATTACACCACCGCCCCAATTACAATTACACTATTATCGTAGTTACAAATACATCAGCTAGTGTCACCGCCCTACAGGGACCGCCGCTGCTGCCACCCAATGGTGGCCGCCACCAACCCTCACCCGCCATCCCTTAACCCCCTCCTCAGCCCCCCAACCCCCATCCTTCTTCTTACACCCTCCCCAGCCATTTCCCCTTCGCTAGAGGTCCAAACCTCCCCAACCGCAGCACCTCACCCCCACAACCCTAGTCGCCGCCCAATGTTAACCTCACCATTGCACCACCATGGTCGATCTGAACCCTAGCTATTGATCTAAAACCGTAGTCATCAGTTCCCATATTGGGCGACTTGTAGTTGGCCCAACAGCCTCATTGTTCGATCAACTGCACCGTCGTCGTTGGATGCCATCCGTCAATAGATTTGCACACCCATCGATTTACAAGCTCAACGATGATGAAGACGCTGGTCATTGCCATCGAAGCAAAATTTTGGGAGGAGAAGAAACTTGGTGCTTTCAGAGATCGAACGGTTGCAGCGGCGGAGGAACAGATGTGGTAGCGGAACGCCTAATTGCGGCGCTCGATCAATGCCATGGAGGTAAGATTTGCTCTATTGCCATGGAGGTGCAATGTGACCATGTTTTGGGAGCTGTTTCCGTGCTGTGATCGTGAGAAATAGAATGCTGAAAGGAGGGATATTTTGGTATGTTCAAGATCAATTAGTCTCTCTTTTGTGCAAGATTAAAACTAGTCCCATATTTAATTTGTCATTATTTATGTCCAAGATTAGTTTTGACATTATTTTGTTTAAATAACAAATTAATCATTGAAGTTTAAAAATAGTATACCTCTAACAATGGAATTATCATCATTGACCCCACTCTGTTATATGCACATCAAAATTATTTCTCAAATATACGTGAACTACCTTATTTAATTATATTTTATATAATCGTGTCATTTTTCATTAAAAAATTTAAGGTGGGACAAAGGTAATACTTTCCTATATATATTACTCCCTCCGTCCCATTTTATCCGTCTTACTTTCCTAGTTTCCTTTTTGAGACACCCATAGTGGGACGATAAAAATGAAATACATGGCAATTTTAGCACGACGGTGAGAGTATATATTTTGCTATCTTCGAGGTACATTAGTCTCGGCCTATTCTACTAGAAAATACAATGACCGCCTTAATGCAATATGTTGGGGGTGTTTGGCAATTGGCCATTGGCTGTTGGCGCTTGGCTGATTGATAACTGCGGATTATGTTGACTGTTTTGATTAATTGATAGTATTAGCAGTTCGTAAAATAATGTTTGGTTAAGCGGCCGTTTACAATCAGCTATATCTTGTCAAATACTATTAAGGACATCAATTAATTTTTAGTTGATCTAATTAATACTTCGTGAATGATTGCCTAGCTAAACCGTTTTTGTGATTCAAAGATGTAAAATTTACTTTACATCAATTATTATTATTATTATTATTATTATTATTATTATTATTATTATTACTATTACTATTACTATTACTATTACTATTACTATTACTATTACTATTACTATTACTATTACTATTACTATTACTATTAGTATTACTATTACTATTACTATTACTATTACTATTACTATTACTATTACTATTACTATTACTATTACTATTACTATTACTATTACTATTACTATTACTATTACTATTACTATTACTATTATTTTAACATAAAAAAGTATGTAGGGTATTCTATAACAAACTCCCAGTACCTTTTCTTCAATTGACTTTCCGTACCACAAGACAATGCTAAATTGAAGAAAAATCTAAAAAAGAAAATTTTATTTCATGCACTCTTGCTCATTTCATTGTTTTGTTCTTCGGCGGAAGTTAAAGTTGGAATCTGGTTTTGCATCTTTTCTTTTTCTTATTGATGTATGGGCCGAAGCAGCTACGGAAAAGAGGGGAACATGGGCAATAAAGGAAAATATGAACATATGAGAAACGGACCTGAAACGCTATGTTCAATAGCTTTTCATAATTTGGTTTGGAATAAAAAGCCAAACTAAAAAGCCATTTAACCAAATACCTTATTAGACGATTAATCTGGTCAAAAAGTCAAATACTAGTTAAATCAGCCAAAAATGGCTGATAGGCTCCTAACAAACACTGAAATATAAATTCGAGTATTTACTTATGAAAATGCCACAACCTCATGGAGATCAATGAACTAAACACTAATCCAACATTATCAAATCATGTTGGATTAAACACTAATCCAACAAATTGAATGGATCGGCCCAGTGGCCCACTACTAAAAGAAACTTAAATAAAAGTAAAAGCCCATTTTAGGATGTTTTGGGCTGCCCAACCCCCATTTTATGCTCAAAACATCTAACGTGAATACGACCGAATCGTCTCTCAACGTCGGGAATTGTGTAGAACTGTGGTTAACAGAAAATGGAAGATTGCACAAAAGTTTTCTGGAACCTCCCTGAAAGTACCGGCGTTATCACTCATCAAAGTCTCTCGCGTATATAAACGCCAGCCATGTCTTCGATCAAGCATAGAAAAAAATCTGTTCAAAGTGCCCATTACATACTCTCAACGAGGCCATCAACTTATTAGCTGTTTAATTGACATCAATACAAATACACAATGTCTCTGATTCCAAGCATCTTTGGAGGTCGCCGGAGCAACGTCTTCGATCCATTCTCTCTCGAAATCTGGGATCCGTTTGAAGGATTCCCGTTCTCCAACGCCGTCGCCAATGCCGGTGGCCCGGCCAGCGAGACATCGGCGTTCGTGAACACGCGCATCGATTGGAAGGAGACGCCGGAGGCTCACGTGTTCAAGGCGGATCTTCCAGGGCTGAAGAAGGAAGAGGTCAAAGTGGAGGTCGAGGAAGGGAGAGTGTTGCAGATCAGCGGAGAGAGGAGCAGGGAGAAGGAGGAGAAGAAGGACCAGTGGCACCGCGTGGAGCGGAGCAGCGGCAAGTTCCTGAGAAGGTTCCGGCTGCCTGAGAATGCTAAGATTGAACAGGTGAAGGCGTCCATGGAGAATGGCGTTCTCACTGTTTCGGTTCCTAAGGAGGAAGCGAAGAAACCTGAGATTAAATCCATTGAGATATCGGGTTAGACTGCTTTGAATTGAATCTGGCGTCCTTTTTGTGAATTTGAAAGATATGATGAGTTTTGATTGTTTTCATTGAATGTTTGAGTGTTCAAATTTGGTATGAATGTAATGTAAAATTGTATGCCTGCAGTCCATCTTTATCAATAAATTGTGTGTTCTTTTCTTTTAAAGAATTGTGTGTTCTTCTGCTTCCCCACAAACAATCAACCTTGTTTATTGAGAAAGCCATGAGCGGTAAACAAATTTCCTACATAACTCAATATTACGTATTATACAGTAAAAATTTAAAAAGATTTTCTAATACAGAATGGACATGGATACACACCACCATAAAATCACTTCATCCAATAATAGATACTGTTAAATTTCAACTTCAATACCCATAGTTATCGATCTTCAACCATTATTGTTTATAGCATAAACTATACTAATATCATTTCAAAAGTAGTTGCTAAAAGAAATTTGTGAAGAGTGTTCTAATGTTACAACTTAATGTAGTTTTTGAATTATCAACCATCAAAGTTAGGAAATGTTGAGTCCAAAAGTGTAAATTGTTTTGGATAGGGTGGGAGTACTTAAATGTAAATAAATAAGATGAGATTTGCGTAAGTGTGGTGCTCCCTAAAGATAATTTCGCCTTGTTCCCCGACCAGACCAATTCCTCTTTTGGTAGTATTCTAACTCGTCCAATTCCTCTCCCCTCCCTTGACGCGCACTTGTCGTGAGGTGCACTCAAAATAAATATCAATACAACACTTATACGTAGTATAGCGTAGTAAGGTTCGTATCCACAGGGAAAGGAATATTTCTCTTTTTAATTAACTAGTAACAAAAGGGGGTTCAGGTTTGAGTGATTTAATTAGAATTAAACACGAAGATGAACGAGTTATGTGGTTTACTTAATGAGAAGAAGACTTGGTTTTGCTTTTATCCACTTAATGAAATGTTCGTCGATCCCGGTTATATCTTTAACTATCTTCCTCTCGAATACTCAATCAAGGAGTATATCCAATTCATCGAGGGTAGTTATTAATAACGAGACGCGTTCATTAATAAAACTTACTTCCGAGTCAATATAGAACAAGCGCCGTATATTAACTTGATAGTAGCAATAAGATCAAGTTGAAAACGATTGAGATTGATAACCTCAACACAAGCGGTTTATTGGTTTAATCAATATAATTAATTCCCCTTGGCTTATTAATCATGAGAAGCATGCATTAACAACCCAAGTTTACTACCATTGAAAGAACCGAATTAATAACAAGCGTATTAACCGATTGATTCTAGTAATAATTAATATATGAAACAAAACTAGTTGATCCTTTAAGTAATGTTCAAAATATTAATATGAAATATGAATAGGAATTAATTAATACTCAAGAAAGAATATTAAAGAAGATGAATCCTACTCATAGTTGTCATGGCGCATGGCGACATACATGGCGCACAGGCATTTTTCCATGGCGATGGCGATGGCGCAAATATGGCGTCGCCACGTGACAAAAATAAAAAAAGCTAAAAAAGTGAATTATAAACACTACAATTGTATCCCCAGCCACCAAAATATGATAAACAAGTTGAATAACAACATTCTAACCAAAACATGTGGCATTCAAATAGTTTAAAGTAGTTCCAAAAACATAATATTAAAAAAAAAGCTCCATGTCTTTCAAAATATATTAGCTTTTTTTTGTTTGATAATTATTCCATAATCATCATCAATTGTCACACTCCTCAGTTCTCATCACCTTGGTTTGCTAGCATCTTTATTCATTTTATTTATATATATATATAACTATATATTTATATATAACTATATTTATATATATAAGTATATATTGTATATAAATTAGAATTAAAACTCACAATTAAAAAAAATGCAAAAGAAACTTACATTTATAATTGAAAACAAGGTTTATTAATGAGAATTAAAATTAAAAAACTAATCAAAACAAAAGGTGAAGTATATCATAGAAGGTTATTTTAAAATAGAAGTATCACAGTTAAAACAACAAAACTATAAATACACAACTTAAAAAGATCGAGGACCTGGGAATGGGAAGTTCTGCGGCTCTGCTTCCGCGAGGGACAGAGGAAGGGCGACTCTGTGAGTTCCCTTCGTCTTATTCGTATTCGTTTGATTCCTGCGTGTGACTCGGGTATATGACTTTGGCTTGGGTATTAGTCTGGGCTTGGGTATACGACTTTTAATATTAAGCCTAAAGCCTTAATTAAATTAGCTTGCTAAAAAATTAAGGGCCTCAATTTATTTTATCTTGTTCTGGGCCTGCCAATGCGGTTCTACTTGCGAATAAGGTAAGGATTTGTTCGCCCAACGCCATGGCGAAGGCGCAGGAATGGCGAAGGCGCAGGAATGGCGACGCCATGTGTATATGCCTCGCCACAGGCCTTTTACGTAGCGCAGGGGTGATAAGTGCGCCTCATGGCGCATGGCGCGCGCGCCATTTCACGCCATCGACAACTATGATCCTACTATAGTTAATATCAAGATGTTAACTAATTGTCATCTTAGTAACACTCCCCGATATTAACGTAGAGGAAGAAATAACTATTACTATAACTAATGTCAAGATGTTAACTAATTGTCATCTTAGTAACACTCCCCCATATTGATATAGAAATAGTATTTAAAGAAAGAATTAATATTCAAGGAAGAAGATTAAAGATAATAACTCACAACTTACAAATTCATTAAGCTTCAAAGTAGCTGAACCTAGATGGAAGAGTTTAGCTCCTCATTTGGAGACTAAACATGCTATAAAAATATAAAAGAAATACTATTCTAAACTGAGCTTAAGAGTATGGAAGAAGGGATCCTTTTTAGTGAAGGAAAAGTGTGCTATTTATAGGTGTTTTTCAACACCTTTGGCCGAGCACCCAACCGGGTACAGTATCTACCCGATCGGGTACCGGTCCGAATCAAATATTTTCCACGTTCTAGTGTTCTTCAGCACGTCGGGTTGTCTTCGGTCAAGTCTCACCCGACCGGGTGAGGTATAGGGCCCGACCGGGCCAAGCAATTTCCTGGAGACTGCAAATGTTAATTCAAACCCGACCGGGTGAAGGTTTCTACCCGGTCGGGTTCACACTCCTGGGCAGCATTCTCCTTGTTTTTCTTCCTTTTCCTTGCCAATAATTCTACCAAAACTTCCTTACTCATAAATAAAAGCTAAAAATACTTACAAATAAAAAGTAAACAAATGTTTACAACTACACACAAATGGTAAACAATCCACACAAAGCAACATATAAAAACACACATTTATGCACTACTAACTAGTGCATATCATCCCTCTAAATATATTGTCTGTCTCCCTTAACACATTCTTCTCACCTCTCCTTACCCCCACTGCTATCTCAAGTCTTGGACTCATGCTTCCTGCTTTTTTAATCCTCATCCTGCATTTATTTATCATCCCATGCTTGAGTTGTTAATATAGCATCATTCGTGTAATGCCATGCAAAAACAGATGGTGTACATTAGTACATATCATACCATTTCATGTCTCCCGGCCCAGTATGTACAATCTTTTGTTATATTTTCTCATGTGTCGGGCATTCAAGCTAACAACTAATGTAATTGTTGAAGAAAATGCTTTGTCTTTTCTCCAGTTACTATTGGATCATTTTCACTTATGTCCCGTATGCTTCTTTTCTCATTTAGAAATTAGAAGAATAGACGTAAGAGTATGTATCAAGACTTGGGTTTCATAGGATATGTGCGTCTGGTGAGCAACTTACCTCTTCAAGAGTGGTACTATATCCCGAAAGTGCAGACGAGCAAGCATCACAGATAAATTTAGTAATTTACACATGCACAGCTCGTTTGCATGGCTAATGGGGAGTTCCAGGTGGCCCCACACAGCATTCCAGAATATTGATTCAAGGAGGAAGGAATCGGGACCAACAAGTGCAACCATTCTCTAATATGGAAGCATTTGAGGAGAAGAGGTTTGCCTAACTTTATATCAAAGTAAGCTGTTTCCCCTAAGCCAACTGACTCTGCAATGTCCAACTTGTCCCTATAAAACTCATCCGACTCGGAGATCTCCAGCGTTAACGTAAATGCATCACGATGTGGACTTGATCAATGAAACCATAATCCAGAGCCAAATCGGCATTGCTCTTGTTCATATCATATTGGATCAATATCTGTCAATCTCGCCTATTTGTCATTCTTTTTTAACCGGGATGGGTAGCTTTATTGGTTTGAACCCAGAACTAAAATGTCTCTAAGGTCACTAGTTCAACTCTCTGAGGGCCAGAAGGGCCTGTAAAAGTTTTGTGGATCCTATATAGTCCAGTCACCAATAACGATAAAAAAACAAAAGTTTTTGTTTGTTTCATCTGGAACACTATTTAGTCTATCCCCTTGAGGTCAATTTGAAATTTGAATGAAGGATTTTGCAAAAAGTGTGGTAGAACAATTGGTTCAGGAAAGCTTGTGTGAACGGGCTGTTGGGGGAAGAGGGGAAAGGGTGGGATAATGATATCTTGTCTGATTTCTTTAACTGCAGGGATAGAAGATTGATACAACAAATCAGTTTGAGCTACCGTCAAGTGCCGGATAGACTTATGTGGAACAGCAAAAAGGATGACCATTTTTGTGTCCGGAGTTGCTATCGGAAGCTGACGGGTGAAGTTTCAGCAAGAGGGTGGATAGGATGGACTCAAATGTGGAAGTGGTCTATTCCTCCTAAAATCAAGACTTTCTTCTGGCAAGTTTGTTTGGGATTTCTTCCAACCCTGTGTGCTCTACGCAGCAGGAGGGTTAACTGTCCATGGATTTGTGGATTGTGCAAGGGGGCAGAGGAATCGTCGCTGCATCTGTCTGCTCAATGTCCTACTGCTGTGGAAGTTGGGCGTATTTTGGGCCGGAAGTAGGCGCTTGATGTGTGTTTTCTCGCACTTAAATGGTTGTAGAAAAGTGGTTGAAAGTACGAGTATCGTCTCCACGGGGACGGACAAAAGGGAATTACAGAATAACTAAATTCAGCGATGAAAAAGAAATAAAATAAAATAAAATAAAATGCAAGTGTGTGAGATTGATTGGTGAATTAAAATTAAACTAATGCGAATAAACAATAAAAATAAAGCTTGGTTTCTTTCTAATTAACGACGAAGGGAACAAGGATTGATTCCGGGGTGACCAGATTTCTGGCAGATCAGACCTAGTTACATGAAATTAATTTAACTGAGCCTAGCTAATCATTGTCATGTTCTTACCGCCCTCGCGGCGTAGAGTACAATAATTTATATACTTTTACTAATTTCCCCACTTAATTGGAAAAGAATCAGAAGATATTGTATCAATGTTATTGAGATTTTTTGTGTTTTAATGTCACAAATATCTTGAATGGAAATGGTGATATTCTAAGATATTGTGTTTTTGTGTTTGGTGCTTTATTGATTAGTGTTCAAAAAGTTATTTGACGAAAACGTTATCAAGTTCAAAACACAAATGAAAATGTTATGGCATTTTACTAAAAAAGAATTATTTGCCACAGGGCAACATATTATATGATGAAGTGTCAATTTAAAAGTATTGTCCTGTGATAAAGAACATTTACTCCCACAAGTTTTCGAGGCCATAAATCTGAAGTGCATCAATTATTGGGATCAAATCTTCACTGTCTCTTGCATCCGAAGGATTTGGCGTCACAATCATATCATGATCACCCTTATTCACGAAAAGATCAACCGTGCAGCCAAAGATATTAGTATGGGGGTTGATGTCAATTCTAATAGATTCTGCAATATTCTTAAGTTTGATGCTATTGCTTTTCCGTATGTTATCTAGTTCTTTCCTCCAACCTTTAATAAATGGTAAGGTGTTCCCCAGCCCTTACCCCATCTTAGGATGGTTTGCCACTGGGTTAGAAAAAAAAATAGTAACTGCTACAAAATATCTCATGAATGTATCAAATTATAACATGGATAAAAGTAATCCTTTGAGTTCCCAATTATGATCCAATCTCTGAATGTATTTGATGAATCGTTTCATCCCTGTAAAGATTATAAAGAGACATTTGCCGATAAAGTACTATTTTTGAGTGTTATTAGGGCTTCAATGTGTCAACCAACATTTCTTGACCATCTATTGCAATTTCAATGAACGTGTTAGCTAAATATGGCCCATGTCCAACAAACGCCATCAAAACATAATTAAATAATACCTTGTCCTAATAACTTTGAGAAATGAGGATATGATGCAATTATTAAGAAAAATGAGTTTATGTGTTTGATATTAAATAGATAAAGTTAGACAATTTAAGATTATATAATTTTTCAAATTTGGTATTACACACTCTTAGTGGGACATGTCAAAATGAAAATATATGACAATTTTAGCGGGAGGGAAAAAATATATATTTTTATATCTCCAAGTTATATTAATCTCAGCCTATTCTACCAGAAAATATGAGTGTCTTAGTACAATATGTTAAGGTTGTCATAACCACACTCGCTAAAATATACATTGGAGTATTTACTTATGGAAATGCCACAACCTCATGGAGATATGAATTGAACAGTAAACACTAATCCAACATTAATGAAGTTGGATGAGAATGTATACGATAAATAGGATTAAAGTAATCTTCTTTTTATCATCAAATCCAACTAATATATTAAATCAAATTAATGTTCATCACATGGCTGATAATACAATCAAGGAAAAAGAAGTAAACAAAACGATAAAAAGCTTTTTGTCTGCCGTCTGCTCTCGAACTAGACTGAGAATCTATCACCTCTGTAAAAGCAATAACATTCGCTGATCCTGTAATGAGCTTAACTGAGTCAATGACTGGCAAACCAGACTTCTCATCACCTAACCTAAATCCAATAATTTCTCTGCTAGGAAAAAAGAACACGTCCAAAACAACATGCATGCAAATCGACAGAAAAACACAAACCAAATAAAACGAAATTAAAATAGAGTGCACACATCTTCTTCCAAACTCTAGAGGTGGCTAAGGAGGGGGACACGGCCGCTGATCATCCGCCACAACCTCAACATCAGTTTCATCTAGATACAGTTCTTCTTCCTCGGTCCTGATCACCATCTTCTTGTACTTGTCCACGATGTTTTCCATGCAAAATTGTTGCTTTAACCTTCTGTCAGAACCTTGTTGCAGTTCGAAGCTCCTTCGATCCAGCCGCCTCAAATCAGCCACCGCCCGTCTCATCGAAACAGACCCTCTTTGCGATCGAATCCCTTTCCCAAAGCCGAATTACTATATACGAACAAACGAGAGTTCACAAAACGGCCGGAGAAACCCCAACCCCGCCCCTCGACTAAGTCGATGGCGGGCGAAAGAACGCTAAGCGTTACCCGAAGGTAACCCTAGAGAGAGAAAATTTTCCAAAAGAGTTCTTCCCTGATGATAACTTAGGATTAAAGTAATCTTGAAATGCGCAAAAAGAACTATTTTATTTATCTTATCGAAATATGACTAAAATATATCATATTTTCATATTCTATTCTTACCATAACTTAAAAGGATAATCATATTTTAATTTGTAATAAAAAATAAATAAAAAATATTTAACTAATACAAAAATTGTACTACCTCCGTCCCTCAAACAACTTCGTTCGGTTTACGATGCTTGACTGACGATAAAGCAACTCGATTACTGTTCACACTCGGATTATTTTTAGAAAATAAAATTTACATATTCAAAAACTACATTAAAACCGCTACAAAGCTTGATTAAGAAAATTTAAATTTGATAAATTTTGATACATAAAGTAAAAGATTAGAAGTGATTTAAGTTGACCAATGAATGGAGAATGAGAAGTTAAATTTGGGACGGAGGGAGTAAAAAATATAAAAATTCTAAAATATTTTGAAAAATATTAAAATACTACGTAATAAAAGAAAAAAAAGAAAAAAAAACTTATAAACAGGGAAATACTATTACTACGTATATAAGTACTATATTTTTTGTAATCCATCAGTTAAACCCTTGCACTAAAAAACATCATTTAAGTACGTTTGCCGATACAATCAATCAAGCCATTTTGGCTTGCCATAGTATGTTTTTAAAAAATAAATAAATATTAAGACTATTGATAAATATTATGAAAAATAGATAAAACACATTACAAAATAAAAAAATAGAGACCTTTTTTGCAGCATCGACCACCGCCCAACAATGTCATCTCGAATCGGCGAAAAACATGTCATTTTGTGTAAAAAAAATCATTTTTTTTCTGTGAAAATTCCACAAAGATGTCATTTCTCACACATTTTGACATTATTCCAGTGGCAATAGAGGCCTACATATTTTATTTGTTATATTTTCTACGTTTTTATTTATTTTAAATTTTTAAGTTTTTTAGTATATAACTTTTTTTTTAATTTGTTATATGTATTAATTTTATTTAATATTTATATTCATTTATTTTATTTTATTTTTTACATTTTTATTGTAAATAAATTTATGTTGTTACTTTTATATTTTAATTATTAATTAAATATGAATTGTATTATAAAAAAACAAGGGTGGAATTGGAAAGCAAACCTTATTTAACGAATTTAAAGTTATAGTCCTATTTTAGCAATTAAAATTTCATTTGATCCTATTTGGGAAATTCTCCCTACGGCGTATATATTATCCGGATGAAAAATATAAGTACAAGATCAGGTAATTCTATTCACAGCCCCTAAATTGCTATTCACAGCCACTTAATTAAATAAAAATAAATAAAAAATATATCAAATATCTAAATTGACCTTATGAAAACGACCTGCCTTCTTCAAGGAAAAAAAGCCAACCCTCAGGCTCGAAGAAGAACACGCTGGTTACAGAGGAACACAAGCAACATCCTGAAAATTAAATTTATAGAAGGCATGGCAGTGGATAATAAATTCTACAGAAGAAGACCGTGGATAATTTATCTCACGCAGTCACACCGGTCGGCATTCACCACCGCCGGAAAGCTCAGAATCGACCCAATTGTCCCTTGAATCTAGATTTTATAGGGGTGAAACTTTCATAACCGCATCCTTACTGATGGGAATCAGCTTTGTTGTATCCTTAATTACCTTCTGGTTGGTAGGGTTGTGGCCAGCGTCAAATTCGGTGTTTTTCCGGCCTACACAAGTGGAGAGGAGAAAGAAAAAATGAGGTAGAAGAAAGAATTAAGGCGGGGTAGTGGTGGCGCAGTCTGGAAGGAGCTTCTCTGGTCTACCCATCCAGTCAACTGCACGACTCCGGTGATGCTTTCTCAAGGCTAATTTAGACATTAGATAAATTCATATTTATTTTTATTTAATAAAGTGGCTGTGAATAGCAATTTGGCGACTGTGAATAGAATTATCCCACAAGATCTCTACTGTTCTGGGAAAGTTGGGTCTACTTGGACAAATTGAATGGATCGGCCCATAACTAAAAGACTTAACTAGAAGTAAGATACTCCTGCTGGTTTTGGGCTGCCCAACCCCATTCTATACTCGAAACATCTAACGTGAATATCACCAAATCGGCTCAACCTCGGGAACTGTGTAGAACTATGGCGAACAGAGATTGGAAGATTGCACAAAAGTTTTCTGGAACCTCCCTGAAAGTGCTGGCGTCATCCCAGACTCACAGTCTCTCGCGTATATAAACGCCAGCCATGCCTTCGACCAAGCATCGGAAGAAATCTGTTCGAAGTATTCATCACATACTCTCAACGAGGCCAACTTATTAGCTGTTTGTTTGACATCAATACAATGTCTCTGATTCCAAGCATCTTTGGAGGTCGTCGGAGCAACGTCTTCGATCCATTCTCTCTCGACATATGGGATCCGTTTGAAGGATTCCCATTCTCCAACGCCGTCGCCAATGCCGGTGGCCCGGCCAGCGAGACATCGGCGTTCGTGAACACGCGCATCGATTGGAAGGAGACGCCGGAGGCTCACGTCTTCAAGGCGGATCTTCCGGGGCTGAAGAAGGAAGAGGTCAAAGTGGAGGTCGAGGAAGGGAGAGTGCTGCAGATCAGCGGAGAGAGGAGCAGGGAGAAGGAAGAGAAGAAGGACAAGTGGCACCGCGTGGAGCGGAGCAGCGGGAAGTTCCTGCGGAGGTTCCGGCTACCGGAGAATGCTATGATTGAACAGGTGAAGGCGTCCATGGAGAATGGCGTCCTCACTGTGACGGTTCCTAAGGAGGAGGTGAAGAAACCTGAGGTTAAATCCATTGAGATTTCGGGTTAGACTGCTTTGATTTGAATCTGGGAATCCGTTTTGTGAATTTGGGAGATCTATAATGAGTTTTGATTGTTTTGAATGAATGCCTGAGCTGTTAAAATTTGGTATGAATGTAATGTAATATTGTATGCCTGCAGTCCATCTTTATCAATAAATTGTGTGTTCTTCTATTTGCTTTTCCACAAACATTCAACTTTGTTTACTGAGAAATATAACTTATACAAAATCAAGCTATGAGCAATTTGTAGAACATGTGATGAACTCGCAGAGCCATGTTTGGTAAAGCTCAAATGATTTAAAAGGCTGTGTTTGTTCAAACTGTTGCTGGGTGGGCTGAATCAGTTGATTAAAACTCAAGTTTTAATCAACTGATTTACAAATATGCAAGTTTATTACGCATGCAAGTTTAATAAAACGACAGGCTTGCCATACTCTGAAACATACGCTGTAATATTTATGTGGAATAGATTTACAAATTACACAATTAACTTTTGCAGATTACTAAAGGGAAAAGTTTTACCAATTACAAACTATGTAGTACAGTGTACCGAAGTTTATGGTTTATCACTTTATGTAAAGAATCAATGAAATGCGTAAGTTAATCTGATCCTGATGATAGGATTTCGTCTGAATACATTAATGTGCATACTCATTCGTTCAGTGGGGAATGAGGATCGTTTAACAGGCTAGATTTGTATCAATGCTTTTGTGTATCTGGATTCTGGCGCATTAGAATCAAGTCATAGGTTAACTTAACTGTATTTTCTTGCAATTATGGGGAAAAGAAGTTGCTCAAAACAATAGCAGAACAATAGTATTAAATATGTTTTGTTGTTTATACTCCCTCCGTTTTGTTGTTTATACTCCCTCCGTCCCAATTTGCGTCCCAATTTGTTTTGGGAAGTAAACATTTTTTTGTTAAACAATAATAAAAGTCAACCCTTCCTAAGAATAATTAATTTTTTTTTAATATTTAAAATTTACATATTCAAAAACTACATTAATTAAACTCCAAATTAGAATATAATTAAAAAATGACATCCTAATTAAGTGAACAAAACGAGACTATTTGACTAAGAAAAGTCAAATTTGTAACTCTTTTTGAGACGGAGGTAGTATAAAACTTATTTAGTCCTATTAAAAGAAGAAAACGATTAAAACTTTATGATAAAATTACAATAAAATTCTATTCATGATTTTTTTTTCAATCATGATGACATTTACAGCACGTGGAAACTATTTATTCTTCATAACTCAATATTATTAAAAGAAAGTTTAAAATGATTGTCTAATACAGAATGAGCATAATATAATGTGCATTTGTGCCATTTGCTCTTTTCAGACATGAAAAATGATTTGCAAGGGCAAATAATGTAATCACATTGCACTTCAGCACATAATAACTTTACCAAACAATAGTAACTGTAAAACTTCTACTTCAATAACTATAGATATCAATCTATAACCATTATTCCGTATAATTTATAGTCTAGACTTTACTGATATCATTTCGAAGTAGCTGCTAAAACAAATTTGTGAAGTGTGTTCTATTGCTACAACTTAATGCAGTTTTTAAATCGGGAAATGTCTAGTCGAAATTCGAAAAGTGAAAATTGTTTCGGAAAGGGTGGGAGTACTTCATTGTAAACTGTAAATAAGACGAGATTCGCGCAGGTGTGGTGTCCTCTATTTTTGAGGCGGCTCCCAAAAGATAATTTCACCTTGCTCACCAACCAGACCAAGATCTTTGAGCCTCCTCTCTTGGTAGTATTCTAACTCGTCCAGTTCCTCTTCCCTCTCTCTAAATATATTGTTCGTCTCCGTTAACACTTTCTTCTCACCTCCCCTTACCCCCACTGCTATCTCCAGTCTTGGACTCATGCTTCCTGCTTTTTTCATCTTCTCATCCTGCATTTATTTATCATCCCATGCTTGAGTTGTTAATATAACAGCATGCGAGTAATGCCATGCAAAAACAGATTGTGTATATATAATACCATATCATTTCTCCAAGTATGCACAATCTTTTGTTCTATTTTCTCGTGTTGGGCGTTCAACTAAACAACTAATGTTTTTTTTTAAAACCCCACCAAAATGAGTGGGGTAAATGCCGGAGAACATTACCAGGCTTTATTAATAAAAAGTGGGATTACAAAAACAAGAGAGGTAGACTAGGCCAAAACCTCCCCAATCAGAGAATAGCAAACAAACAAACATTTTCAGTATTTCAGGTCTCCAAGCCTCCAAGGTGAAAAGCAAACAACTAATGTATTTCATTATTCGCTGAAGAAAATGTTTTGCTTTTTCTCCGGTTACTATTGGATCATTTTCACTTTCATTCCTTATATTTCTTTTCTCATTTAGAAGGAACAACTCATACGGATAAGTATGTCTGGTGAGCAACAACTTACCTCTTCAAGAGTGGTACTGTATCCCGAAAGTGCAGACGAGCAAGCATCACAAACAATTTTACATATGAGCAGCTCATTTGCACGGCTAATGGGTAGTTCCAGGTGGCCCCACACAGCATTCCGGAATATTGATTCAAGGAGGAAAGCATCAGGACCAACAAGTGCAACTAGTCTCAAATAGGGAAGCATTTGAGGGGGGAGAGGTTTGCCTAACTTTATATCAAAGTAAGCCGTTTCTCCTAAACCAACTGATTCTGCAATGTCCAACTTGTCCCCATAAAACTCATCAGACTCGGAGATCTCCAGCGTTAACGTAAATGCATCACGATGTGGACTTGAATCAGTGAAACCATAATCCAGAGCCAAATCAGCATTGCTCTTGTTCACATCATATTGGATGAAAACCTGTCAATCTCGCCTATTTGTCATTCTTTTTTAACCCTGATGGGTAGCTTGATTGGTTTCATTTAGAACTAAAATGCCTTTAGGGTGACTAGTTCAACTCCCAGAAGGGCCAGTAGAGGTTTTCTGGACCCTATATAGTCTGGTCACTATTTGGGATCAATGCCCTTGAAGTCAATTTGAATGAAGGATTTTGGAAAACTTGGTCTAGTTCTTGATAAATAGAATGTTGAAAATCGACCAACTAAACAAGCCTTAGTGGGGCGCGTCAGCCTTACCTGCTCACCTTTCTTCACTGCTAAGGGGCTTCGCAAAGAGAATAAGTAATCCCTGGAGAAAAAGCCCGCCGTTCGTCGAACTTCATAGGCAGGGTCTTCTGATGTAACTCTACCACTGTGGTTGATCTAATGCATACAACAAAATAGTCACTCTTTCACTACGTCTACTTCACCCCTAATTTTTTTTTATAATTTTCCATATAGGGCCTTACCAAGTCAGCAAATGGCATCAAAATAAGATTTTGATTTTGAAGATGGGAAAACGCCCTTGACCTGAGGATTCCAAATGCCCAAACGAAGTCATCCAATGTGATAGTGAAAGGGAAAAGCTGTTTGTTTCGAAGTATGACCTCTTCAGCTCTCTGGAATTCAGTTTGCACATATTCTATGACACCTATAGTTGTGCTTAATAGCTGGGTCCCTGCAAAGTTTCATGACTAAAGATTTGCATCATTCGTATCGAGACATAGACAAGTAGTGGAGATTTGTAGCGATAAATATATGTGCATTTATGCGCTATTAGAGTAACAAAAGAATACTACACGAAGCTTACACAGATAAAAAAAATAATCGGCTATGATATGATGCACAAATGTCTGGGATGTATTGTAAAACTTTTTTGGAAGCCTCTTATGGCCTGTTTGGATCCATGAAAATGCTAAGAAAATGAAGCAAATGTCAACGGCAATAATTTTCATAGGTTTGGGGCTATAGTTTTGGAAAGTGAAATGTAATTATTTTCTTATTATATTTTTGTTTCACACATACTTCTAAGTATTTATATAATACAAATTACTAAAAATAAATGAGATCAACAAATGTTTAAAATAAACATAGATATTTTTTACCTATATTTTATTTTCTCTCACATTTTCTTTCCTTTACAGTTTCCTATACTATTCCCTCCCTATTTTTTTCCGAGTATTTTCCAGATTGTAAACGGACCCAAGAACTGTACAGAGCCTCTCTAATATTTTCAACTAAAAAGTGGCGTTTCTCGATGTCTGTTTTTTGTGTTTCCATGTCCTTGCAACATAACCTATTGCCTATTGTTGGACACACTGATCTTAAAAGAGACAACAATGGTTAGAGTATTAGACAGAAGGCATTAAATAATGTAATTTATATCAATGGTGGATCCAAAGACTCTTTCATGAGGAAGCATGCTAGTAGGGTGGACACAAATCGGTTCTGCTCCAGTTTTAAACTGCTCAGTTTTGGGACCCTAGATTGAAGAACCTCAATGGAAGCTAGGTTAAGCGGGTGGGGTCAGGCTCCCGTGTTAGTGTCGCCTCTGTCTTGGGCGCAGTTTTGTGCGGCTCTGAACAGAAAAATTTTAGCATTTCAAAAAATGGAATGCGGAAAGGAACTGTTTGATTCCGATCGATATACAAATTAACCAGAGCAGAACTGCCCCTACACTGATTATGATTCTAGGACGAAATGATTGTTTGGTATCTTGCAAAAAAATGGACAATATCAATTCCATTCAAGAACCAGGGCCGTTTCCAACCCTTAAGTTTAGAACCATTTACTTGTAGTAGCTTGAGGTTTATTAAGAAAAAAACATTGCATTGTTGTTCAGGATAGTGGTATTAGTCGCGCATGGCAGGTTATGGCGGATTCCCAAAATTCTGCCATATGGTGCCACCATAGATTGCCATAAACAGCCATTCTTCACAAACTTCATATATCAGTCTGCTATATTTTCTCCACCATGGGGCCTTCTTTTGACATTACCAGTTTACAATTGCTCGTTTTTTAATCAATGCTCAAACAAACTTTTTTTGTACTTGAATTTTTAAAAATATGAATTTTCTTCTTCTCCTCCTCAACCTAGAGTGTGTCATCCCCAGCTTCTGGGAGGTCGAAGTCTATACTGACCTATGATTCTATGAACTGATTTTTTTTTACCCACATAGGAAGCTAGGTCATCCACTGCTTCATATGAGTGTGAAGTACAACACATAAAGCATTGAACAAGCAAATTAGACACACCATTCAAAATCTTTAAAGAGAAACAATGGGATCTACCTTGAAGCTCAGCAAGCTCCTCTTCTGACCTGCACTGAAACCGGAATTTCAAGTGACATTGTAAATAAGTAAGTAATACGGAATAAATAATACACAACCCTAATAAAAATTTAAAAACAACAATAAATAAGTGCTAGAATTGAAATAAACAGAAAAAAAAACATATAGTTTAAAGTTCAGACCCACCAAAAAACAGTAGAATTGGTGCAATCTGGGAGGACATCAAGATAAGATTTCCACTTGGAATCATCCCTGTGCTTCTCTCTAAGCAAGAACAGAGCCACAGCAACCCAGGGATTCATCCCAGAACACACACTCCCAATCTCTGAATCTGCAACTGTTTCTGGAGTGATCCAGAACCTTCTGGGAACTTCCAAAACGACTTCATTTCTACCAATGTCTTTAGTGGCGACAAGCCCTAGTCCTTCTGGGACAACTCCTGGCCCCACTGGTGTCTTCTTTGATATCACTCCTTCATCACATCCCCATTGCCAAAGAGTTCTGATAGGCTCTGGTAGTTCTTGGTCAGCTTCGGTAGGGTGCGCTGAAGCTAGAAAGAGTGGCCTGTGATTGTAATGGAGACACGGCTTTGTTTTCATGAAAGATGAGTCTTTTGAGAGTGCGAGAAAAGAAGATGAAGAGGGAGTGTAGAGAGACAAAAAAGTGGCCATTTTTATATCCTACGTGTGGTTAGATTATGCTACGTATCTCATGTATATCGTAGACGGAGACCACAGAAGAATTCCAATTTTAAAAGAAGGATGCTACCCATCCTCAATCTCAGTACGAATAGTTTTTTTTGGGAACATTTACCATTTTTATTAAAATCTAATTCAGGTGAAGATTACAACAAAACACCAAAAAGAGTACAATAAAGGCATCAACCGCAAGCGTCCAAGCATTTCGAATAAAAACCTGCACCCAACAGAAACGTCTAAGGAATGTCGCCCTACCAGAGTGTTCTTTGACAGAGAGAGAGAGAGAGCCGTCATCAGCCATGGAGCCGGACTGTTTTCTTTCTCCCTTCTATGTGAAGCTCAGCCCGCGTCCCTGAAGTAGTATCTACCATGCTTGTCCTCGATGAAAGCTGTTCTCACTCTATTAGGAAGATTATGGAGTTCGTACTTTGTGAGCCGTGGAACGTTGAGACATGTCAGAGCCAGGAAGTGTGCGACGACATTTGCCTGACGGGGGCTTGCCTTTGACTCAGTACGAATAGTTTTTTTTTTTTGAATGAAGGGACTTATATTAGAATTAAAGTATTCAGAAAGGGTCTAAAATAACAAAAGCAAAAAACTAAATGAAGGGAATTTGCCTAAGCAAATCCCTTTTGCCGAAGACTAGAATCACAAAATTGCGCAGATACCAAACCCTAAGCTTAGGGAGACGGCCGATATATCCAGTACAAATAGTTAATTGAAAGGATTCTCAATTTCCAATTCTTATTCAATTGTGTTTCATCCTTTTGTCCAATTGAATATAGAGAGATTAGAGACTATATTGAGGTGAGATCCTTCTTGTGAGATATGAGAGTCTTCTTTTGGGAGAGAAGAAAAATCTTAGGATGTTATGTAGGAGTAAGAATGATAATATCTTTAGTGATGGGAGAGAAAGTCTTAAGTCGAGCTCTCAAATGAGTGAAAACAATCTTGAGAATAAAGTAGTGTCATATACAAAGAGTGAGATGAACTATCTATTTATTTGTAAATCTCTATTGTACATTTCAATTGTATAATATAATACAAAGGGACATTCAGATTGAGTCTTTGTATTGTCAGGGGGTCGTGTTTCCCCAACATTATAAACCTATGTTTAAGAAAGGGACATTGACGGATTGGTCAGGGTAGGTGGACTCAAAACCCGATGACCTGAAGGTATTACTGGTCTGATACTTGTACAAACAGTTCTGTTTAGTATGATTCAAATTGTTAAATTCTCCGTGTCACTCAAAATTTTGTCAAGTTTGACTGACATGAAAAATAATAAAGTAAAAGTTGTGTGGTTGGTACTATACAGAGAAAAGAAAAATTATAGGAAACACAAATTCATTGACTAAAAGGAAAAGTTACAAAAATTTTGGGAAAAAAGTAAATATAACAAAGTTATAAGGGATGAAGGAGGTAATTCTCGCTACAGTCATTGAATTAGGTGAATGTGTTGAATTATGGAAAATATATATTTAAAATATATTTTATTAATAAAATAAAAAAAAGGTGTTAAATTTTAACACCTCTTCTTGTCGGAATAGGCAATTCCAACTCCCCCTTCCTTAGAATGAAAAATGTGAATGTGAATGTTTTTTGTACATAAACATCGGCTTTGTCCTCTTTGTATCGGCATACAAATTTTTTTGTACATAAATAGGGCTGAGCAAGGGTATGTTAAAATTTAATCCTAACCCTAGTCGGAACACCCATTTCCCGTTTTTTGGCAGCATTTTGGGAATTTCCTCATTTAAAAGTATCCAATTTGTTTCCAATACTTGTCTAAGAACGGTTGTATTGCGAAATGGTTATCAGTTATTACCAAGTTCAGAGTTGGAACCCCGCAGTGTAAACCTCTTCACTTTGTGAAAAAGTAATTATTTTACGTTCTAGCAAAAACGCTCTAAGTCTTTAATATCAAGCCCAGAAATTACATTCTATAGAAGATCAATGTGCTGAGAAAAATACTTCACCAGTGGCTGACAGGATGGAACTTAGCTTTGTTTTGGTCCTGCTACAGGTTCCATTCCATGGCGGACTTTGTGATACTGTGCTGTTTATGAATACATGGTCAAGATTTTTCTTAATAGAGTATACTAGTATTTTGGTTTGGTAGCGTGGGAAAGCAGAGCAATGAAGAAAATGCAATTTTTATTGATGATCCGATAATGTGCAACTCTGCACAGACGAGAATTTTACATAGCCATCGCCAGAAGACTAGGGAGAAATGATCAATACAAACAAACGGACACTCATTTTAGTTGATAATAACAATCAAAGCCAACAATTACTACCGAAACCCCACACAAATTGAAGGGTCTAACCAGAGATTTCAATGGATTTCATCTCAGGTTTCTTTACTTCCTCTTTTGGAACAGTCACAGTGAGCACGCCATTCTCCATAGCCGCCTTCACCTGTTCCATCTTCGCATTCTCCGGCAGCCGGAACCTCCGCAGGAACTTCCCGCTGCTCCGCTCCACCCGATGCCACTTGTCCTTCTTCTCCTCACTCTCTCTGCTCCTCTCTCCGCTGATCTGGAGCACTCTCCCTTCCTCCACCTCCACCTTCACCTCCTCCTTCTTCAGCCCCGGCAGATCCGCCTTGAACACGTGAGCCTCCGGCGTCTCCTTCCAGTCGATGCGCGTGTTCACGAACGCCGCCGTCTCGCTCGCCGAGGCTCCAGCGTTGGCGACGGCGTTAGGGATCGGGAATCCTTCGAAGGGATCCCAGATATCGAGAAAGAAGGGATCGAAGACGTTGCTCCGGCGACCACCAAAGATGCTTGGAATCAGAGACATTATTTCTCTATCGACTCAATGAGATATCAAATTATCAACCAAACGGCTATTCTGATAGCTTCGCTGAGAGTTAAATGAACAGACTTCTTCCGATGCTTGAATCGGAGGCGGGTGAGTGTCGTTTATATAGGAGGGAGACGATGATGAAACCAGTACTTTCGTGGAGCTTCCAAAAATGTTCTACAGTTTTCCATTCCTTGTTCTGCCAAGTTGCACACAATTCCGGATTCAAATACTTGTATTTCGTAGAAATGACAGTTTTTATTTTGCTTCTACTTCTTTTTTCAGAGTACATACAGAATCAGAATCGGTTTTCAGAAATTGGTCATCTCCAACTTCTAAAAAACTGATTCTAGGAATAAATTTGAGCACCAGAATCAATTCTACACTTTCACTCAAACACTCCAGCTTCTGCTTACACTATTTGAAGCAGCAGAAGCAATTTTAAGAATCAGATCCAAACACCCCTTGTCTTTCCAAATTTCATTTCTATTTTTAATAATAAATAAAATCACTCTTCAAAATAATTAATGAAGTTCGTTTACTTATTTTCTTCAATTTTCTGTTTTTTATTTTCCTTTTCCAAATTTGAACGGATGTTTTTTCAAATATTTTTTTCTTTCTATTTCAATGTTTAAAATCATTAATTAAGTATATGTATTGAGAAATTGAAACTTGATAAAGTTGAAGACCTAAAAAATAACAAATATTATCTGACATCGTTAATAAATTAATATTTGTGTATAATACAAAATAAAATACTCATGATTAGAAACATTTGAAATAAGACAAAACGTAAACATAAATGATAATCTACGAACATGACTTAATAAGTGGCATTTTTTAATAAGAGACTACATTGTCCTCAAAGACAAATACACAATTTTACATAAAAAATTATGGATCAGAATTAGTATTAAAAATGTATTTTTAAACCAAGTGTTGTTTGATAACATGTTTGTGTACATAACACTAGTAACACTTTTTTTGAATTCACGTGTTTTTTATGATCTATGAATCAAAATTAGGATTAGAACTTATTTATTTTGGGAAAATTATGAAACCTAAAAGTAAGTTATAAAACACTAAAAACATGAAAATTGATAATCCTAATTTAATAAATAAAATATATTATTGAAAATACACGTAGCATAGATCTTGAAAAAAATATGCAGTTTTAAAAAAACAAAAGTTACCACACTTGTATACCCTAGCGTGAAACAAATACAAGACGCAGTATAATGTTGCATATTTCCAATTCGGAAAACACCAAAAAGTGAGTTCTTCCACTTAAGAACAAAATCAGAAACATGTTTCTATTTTTCAATTTTAGATTATGACAGGACGGACGGTAAACATGTTTTTCAATTTTCCTTTCTCCAGTTTTCCAGATTTAAATGGGATTCCCACCAAAAACAAGATCAATTTTAAATGCTTTCCAAAATGAGATTTATATTACATTTATGCCTTGCCCAGTGACAGTGACATAATATTCTATGCAGTTACAATGACATCTACTCCGTCAATGACCATACAGAGCCAGTGACCAATATGTCATTGAATTGTATTGAATATGTAGCAGTATAGGGATAATGTGTGTAAAATGTCGTCAATATGTTGCAGTATAGGGATAAAGTACGAGTATCGTCTCCACATGAACGGAAAAAGTGAATCAAGTGATAAATAAACTCAACGATTAAAAAATAAATAAAATAAATAAATTCGATTGTTCGTGGTTGGATTTTTGAAAAAAATAATTAATACGAAAATAAAGCTAAATTAAAGGCTTCTTCTTATTTAATGACGAAAGGCATTGATTCGGAGGGCAACGAGATTCCGGGGCTGATCAGACTTAAAGTCTTAAACACATGAAGACTATTTAATTGAGCAATGCATGTCAATACTAAGAAGTTGTTCTCTTCGTCTTATTCTTATTACTTATTGTTTATTCTTATTTTATTCAGATCAGAAAGATTTAGATCAGACCAGATAAAATACATTCAGATCAAATCAGATCACAAACATTCATATCGGATTTATCACTTTATTATTATAATAATTATAATACTATTAATAATTATTATATTATTACTATTATTAGTATTACTACTAGTATTATTATTATTATAATAATAATAATTATTATTATTATTATTATTATATTATTATTATTATTATTATTATTATTATTATTATAATACGGAGTACAATAGCATAATTATTATATTATAATAATGTAATTAAATATAATAATTATGTTATATTAATAATTATTATACGGAGTATGGAATAACTAAAGTTATAAATATAATTATAATTGTAATTATAATTTCAGTTATAATTACTTATAATTACATCTATAATTACAATTACAATTATAGTTATATAATTATAATTGTAATTTTAATTGTAAGTGTAATTGTAATTCAAATTATAGTTATATAAGTAATAATAATTAAAAATATAATTAAAATTATAATTATATATATAGTTATAATAAGTGTAATACGTATAATTGTTATAGCTCTAATTATAATTATATTTATAATTATTATATATTTTTTATAATTATGATTATAGTTATAATTTTATTTAAAATATATTTGTAGTTGTAATTATAATATTTATTATTATAATTATAATTATAAAAATAGGAAAAATTGATTGTAATACTGCCAACTATTGGCGGTCCGCTCATAATAATCCCAACTATCGATTATTTCATAATAACCCCAACTATAGGCACCTTCCGCTAATAATGGTCCCTATAAATAAATTCTTGTAGTTTCTAAAGTGGATGAGAAGAGATATAGCAAGTAATCCCTATAAATAATCCAAACTTTTAATTTTAACGATTAATTTCTATTTAAAAATCACTTGTTATAGGAGGTAATATATGGTCATGGACCATTATTGGCAGACGGTCCATATAGTTGGGATTATACAAAAATAATCAATAGTTGAGATTATTGTCAGCGGACCGGCAATAGTTGGGATTATTATTTTCAATTTTTTCTAAAAAATATTCAAATCAGATCAGATCAGAAATATTCAGATCAGATCAGAAGGATTCAGATCAGACCAGATCAGAAAGATTCAAATCAGATCAGAAAAATTCAGATCAGATCAGATCAGAAAAGTTCAGATCAGATCAGATCATAAGTGTTCATATCAGATCAGATCATATCAGAACTTAAAAAATTCATATCAGAAACATTCAGATCAGGCGAAGAGAACAGCTTCTAAGTTCTTACTTTTCTCGCGGTGTAGAGTATAATATTTTAGATAACTAGGCTGATCTCCAGGCGACAAGTTACTAAATTATTGAAAAAATAAGCGAGCGCACGGGCCCTTAATCATTACTAATATCTGAACGAACAATTAGGTTTGTGTGGAAGTGTCATTGAATAATTTAGATCTCTCTTAAATTATTGTATGTGCAATTATAATCCTAGCTGCAATTCCAGGTTACAAAAGATATCAATTAAATTATTCAAATACAAATTACATAAATAATCATGCAATTAAACTCTCAAGAACAAACCCTAGATCATGCTTAACACCCCTTCATCAATCTCAAATCATCAATTAAATTTATTCACAATTCATAATTGACGTGTCAATAGAATTCAGAAGGAAAGAAATAATTATTATTAATTAAAAAATAGAACTTACAAATAATTCATTAAAGATCCAAAGTTGAAAACCTCTCAAAATTTCGTCCTAGACACTCTATAAGCTCTCATCCCCCAAAACAGGGGTTTACATGCTGGTTAAATAGAAAGCAGAGCAATTATGGCCAAAAAAGGCCCATGGAGCGCACGCACGATGTGCGTGGAGTCCGTGCATCCGGGGTAAAAACACGGAAAACGTGTCATGCACGACATTCGTCCCTATCACGCACACGTGCCTGGCCTCCATTGAGTTCACCGTGAATCTTCTTTTCGCGCACGGAGTGCACATCTCCTATCCGAATTTGACTATGTTTCCTTCACAAATGTTGTAGCTAATGAAGTCCTTCCTATATTCATCACCACTTGAAAAATTGTAATTGGATCATCCAATCAAAATATATGGTTAAAATGGTGGAATATCGCATCCTAAAATCTCAACAGCGGCTATCTGACTTCCTCGTCTGTTTTCACCTTGATCTTCTCACATTCTCGTCATGATGTCTTTATTACATTTGTAACCCATTGTGTCATTTGAAGTTTTCTATGAAAAGATATGCTCCAATGATTGATAAGCTAATACGTCATCCTGATCACCATTTTCAAGCTATATTCGTCCCCGTACTTGATCCTTGAGCTCAATTGACTTCAAAAATGCATCTTTAATGACTCGCAAACCTTCAATGGCTCTTATCAACTCTAAATTGTGTCTCAAATCTCCCCAAACAATTCTCTCACGTGTGGTGACAAGCTTAGTTCCCTGATTTTCACTCTAAAAATACCAAAAACAAACCAAAAACCAGTAAACTATGACTTGAGCTAATTATGTGCTTTGCAACACATTTAAATTAGGAAAATTGTTAAAAACCATTCCCAACACGCATCAAATGTGTGTTGAAATATGGACTTATTGATGGCCAAAACGCCACCGAAAACAGTCGCCGCAAATGATCACCCGTTCAATGGCAGTTACACCATTGTCCTAGTTACAATTACACCACCGTATTAGTCACAATTACACCACCGTCCTAATTATAAACATACAATTACACCACCGCCCCAATTACAATTACACCATTATCGTAGTTACAATTACACCACCGCCAGCAACAATTACATCAATTAGTGTACAGACCTACAGGGACCGCCGCTGGTGCCACCCAATAGTGGCCGCCACCAACCCTCACCCGCCATCCCTTAACCCCCTCCTCAGCCCCCCCAACCCCCATCCTTCTTCTTACACCCTCCCCAGCCATTTCCCCTTCGCTAGAGGTCCAAACCTCCCCAACCGCAGCACCTCACCCCAATAACCCTAGTCGCCGCCCAATGTTAACCTCACCAATGCACCACCATGGTTGATCTGAACCCTAGCCATTGATCTAAAACTGTAGTCATCAGTTCCCATATTGGGCGACTTGTAGTTGGCCCAACAGCCTCATTGTTAGATCAATTGCACCGTCGTCGTTGGATGCCATCCGTCGATAGATTTGCACACCCATCGATTTACAAGCTCAACGATGATGAAGATGATGGTCATTGCCATCGAAGCAAAAATTTGGGAGGAGAAGAAACTTGGTGCTTTCAGAGATCGAACGGTTGTAGCGGCGGAGGAACAGATGTGGTAGCGGAACGCCTAATTGCGGCGCTTGATCAATGCCATGGAGGTAAGATTTGCTCTATTGCCATGGAGGTGCAATGTGACCATGTTTTGGGAGCTGTTTGCGTGCTGTGATCGTGAGAAATAGAATGCTGAAAGGAGGGATATTTTGGTATTTTCAAAAACAAGTAGTCTCTTTTTTGTGCAAGATTAAAACTAGTCCTATATTTGTCATTATTTATGTCCAAGATTAGTTTTGCCATTATTTTGTTTAAATAACAAATTAATCATTAAAGTTTAAAAATAGTATACCTCTAACAATGCAATTATCATCAATGACCCCACTGTGTTATATGCACATCAAAATATTTCTCAAATATACGTGAACTACCTTATTTAATTATATTTCATATAATCGTGTCATTTTTCAATAAAAAAAACTTAGGGTGGGACAAAGGTAATACTTTCCTATATATATATTACTCCCCCCGTCCCATTTTATCTGTCTTACTTTCCTAGTTTCCTTTTTGAATTATCCCAAATTAAGTGTCACCTTTCTCTTTTCAGAAAGAAACATGTGGTTTACAATATTTCATTTTATTATATTCAAATCTCAACAATTTTTACCTTTTCAACCACTTTATTAAAAATTGTGTCAAAATCAAAGGAGACACATAAAATGGGACGGAGGTAGTATGTAATATTGCACTTTTTTGGAAAGTGTCATAACCTAAGAAAATAATACATTTCACAATCTCTACTTTTAGTCCCTACACACATTCTTACTCGTACGAGAACTAAAGAATTAGAAATAAAGTACTTGCTAAATTAATAGTGCGTAAAGTTTGATCAAAGTTAATTTGCATATAAAATAAAACTCTTCTTTGAGTTGTTCAAAATAAAGTTCATATTACTAATGAAAAGGTGCAAATAGGCCTATGTACTAACCAAAAAAGGTCAAATAAGCCCTTATTTAGAAGGCTTTGTCTGGCCGTCGCCATTTGGGGTGGTTCCCTGTGGAATTTTTTGATGAAATTTCTTGAGCATCTTATTCATTAAGTCTAGTTTACTCATACCAAATTTCAGATAAAACATTAATCGGGAAGGCATTCAAATGAATTCTTGAAAATAACTGCGCAGTTATCTTCAAGAATTCATTTGAATGCCTTACCGATTGAAGTTTTAGCTGAAATTTGATATGAGTAAACTACACTTGATGAATAAGATGCTCAAAAATTTTCATCAAAAAATTCCACTAGTAACCACCTCAAATGATGACAGCCGGACAGAGCCTTCTAAATAAGGACTCATTTGACCTTTTTTTGGTTAGTACATGGGCCTATTTGCACCTTTTCCCTTTTTTCTATATTTGGTAAGTTTTTGGGAAAAGGTGCAAATAGGGGCCCATGTACTAACCAAAAAAGGTCAAATAAGCCGTTATTTAGGAGGCTCTGTCCGGCCGTCGTCATTTGGGGTGGTTTCCGGTGGAATTTTTTGATGAAATTTTTTGAGCATCTTATTCATCAAGTCTAGTTTACTCATACCAAATTTCAGCTAAAACTTTAATCGGGAAGACATTCAATTGAATTCTTGAAGATAACTGCGCTTCTAACTGCGCAATTATTTTCAAGAATTCATTTGAATGCCTTCCCAATTGAAGTTTTAACTGAAATTTGGTATGAGTAAACTAGACTTCATGAATAAGTTGCTCAAAAATTTTCATCAAAAAATTCCACCGGGAACCACTCCAAATGGCGATGGCCGGACAGAGCCTCCTAAATAAGGGCTTATTTGACCTTTTTGGTTAGTACATGGGCCTATTTGCACCTTTTCCCTAAGTTTTTTTTATTCATGTACTCTTATCTCCTCGCATAACTTTAAAAAAGTTATGTATTTTACACCCACTTACTATTTATTTACCCTTTTATTGTCCCACTTGAGTACTACATTTATTAATACCACAATTTCACAAGGACAATTTTGGAAAATAAGCGAGTACACATTTATAGCTTTATTAAGCAGGAGATCCATTGCCCCCGCCCAACAGCACCAGTCTCATGCCCAAACTGAAAACCAAGGTCTTGATCCGATCCCGTGAAGGCGTGAACCGGTTTTGGACTTTGGTCCCAACCAGTCCGCAAACCGAAAACCTAGGTCTTGCACTCATATATTCTGATCTTCAAGATCTCTTACAGTCTATTACGAATAAGATCTACCTTTGAGGTATACCACTAGAAACTGTTCTGGGGATGACGGGTGGTAATACGTGCTATAATAGTGCAATTTAAACAATGGGTGGACTCGGGCCGGTTCGGGCCTGGGCCCGGCCGGGCCTCGGGCCAGAAAACTAGGGCCCGGGCCCGAACCGCCGGTGGGAGGTTCCGGTTCCGGTTCCGGGCCGGGCCAACCGGTCTTTTTTTTTTTTGGTTCTCCTTTTTAACCCCCTACCCCTCCCCCTCAACCACAAACCACCCCAAACCACCTCAAATGGCCCAAAATACTTAATCCAACCCAAAACTTAAAAAAATCTAAAAAAAAAAAAAAAAAAATCCGGCCCGGACCGGGCCCAAACCGGCCAGGCCGGTTCACCAAAATCAGGGCCCGAGCCCGGACCGCCATCCCACCGGGCCGGGTGGCCCGAACCGGTGCACCAACCGGTTGACTGGGCCGGTCCGGGCCCACACAGTAGCGGGCCGGTCCGATTCCGGGCCGGTTGGCCCGGCCCGAGTCCACCCCTAATTTAAACACATTGGCAATAAAAAAAACACGAGTTTTTTAAACACATTGACAATGGTTGTACATGATTGCAGAGTAAATGTTAATCAACTTGTCAAATAAAACACGATCTTGAGGCGCCAAAGAACTGAGATTCGAAGACAGAGTAGTTGTTAATCATTTCTCTGTATAAACTGGAACTATACCGGAACTGAACTTGGTCCACCCTGATGAAAACACTGGCTACGGGAGTTATGGCCATATGGTTTATGGTTCTACAATCAGATCACTTTTATCTATGTAAATCAAGCTCAAAAGAGAAGCTCTAAAAACAACCAAAGAAGATGGACTGGGTTTATACTTGTTCATTATCTTCATCTACACATTATAGTAGTAAATAATGTTAGAGAAATAACTGACACTAAATGAACCAGAATAGTTGGATTAAGGGAGTTGATGCAGATGTTTGTTACTGACTTACTGAGTAATACGAAGTATTTTTTAGGTCAAGGGTGAATATCTGCAGGCTTCTCAAGAGCTACTTGTAATTCCCGGAACAGGTCATTTGATGTATCCCAAAGGTTCTTGGACATTTTCAAATCATAGGAAAGCACGGATGATGCAAGTGTTCTTCCATTTCCTCCAAAAAAGTAGACTCCTGATGTTTCCTGAAATGAGATGGAGGAGAACACACACACGTCCATATACACTGGAGCTCAGCTAAGAGGGGGGCATACTAGGCCCGGCCCACCCCAAATTTAGTAAATGCTTTGAATCCAGGTGTAGAAAAAATATGTAAAAGATTATCTAAAAAAAATCTGTTTTGTCGGTTTAGTCCAATTTATCCTTTTGGCTATGCCACTGAATTATACACACATACAAATACAAGTAAAAGGGCATCTCTTCAATTCTCAGGCATATATTACTACAGCAAGAAGCAATTGATTACTATTATGCTTTTATTATGACTTTCTTTATACTTTCTACGCTACAGTAATAACACAAACATTCAATTGAGGTAATGAGGAGTCGGGGGAAAGTCTGTGACAAATGTATGAATGTATCAAGTCCAAAGAGATAAAGGTTCCCATGAGATTAGCAATAACTTAACAAAGTATGCAACATGCAGCTATAGACAAGTAGTAGAACTCACAGCTTAGTGTTTATGCAAATACTTACTGGCGGGGAAAGTGCTGCATCAAGAATAGAGCCTACTGCATCTTCAGGTGCTTGAAGCATACCCAAAATTTTCAAGGCTGCATATGACAGCTGTGAAATCCATGAAGGAATTTCTCGCATAATATTGGTTTTCACGGCTCCAGGATCCACAGCTCTTTTATAGCAATTGAAAAAGAACGTGAATTCGTTGATATAGAATTAAAAAAGGCACATAACACAGTTGTCAGGTGCCATTAATGGAGAGCAATTTTAATAGAAATGAATGGGAAAATTGAGAAGTTAATTATATCATACCATATTATGGAGTATTTGTTTCTTTCTTGTTAAGATTAAATACGGAATTAGGATAAACACTCACACTACAGAGAGCTTATGACGTTTCTCCATCATGCCAACTTGTCGATGCAGTTCATATGAAAACAACAAAATGCATACTGTCACCCATTGGGTGCATATATCAGCAGGTGGCTAGAACAACAGACAATGCATGACCTTAAACAGAGTACACTTACATTTTGAATACTCATAGATTTCTGCATAGGGATACTGTTTTGATTTTGATGGACACTTGATAGCTCCTTTGTCCATCTGCATGGACCATACTGAATTGAAGAAAGAGAGGAAGAAAATGAAACAACCACTCATCAAACAGTCTTCTAGCAATTCCTTGTATAAAACTCACATCAGAGCCACTAGATATTACAAAAATCTATAGGACATTCAACTCAAGAGATATTGAGTTAGGTTTACTCTTACCACTCCGATGTGTAAAGGATGTGACATTAACCACACGTGAAGGGATTGGGCTACTTTCCAGTAAATGGAGCAGGACTTTGGTAATACAAAATGCACCAATATAGTTCGTTGTGAACATCCTGAAATAAGTATAAGTAGTGATAGGCATCTTTCAAATCTTTAGAAACTGTATGTGCCGTAGAACTCATCTAATTACACTGGAGTAATGCAATGCTTTATATGCATCTTTTTTTCCCGTAAATAAAAGGAATGTGAGACCAACCAAACTTACAACTAATAAATTATAACATGTATCTAGTAGTTACATCCAAACTCCAAAGGTAAATTACTTAGCTATGTTGCATGAAAACCTGTGTTTACATGAAAAAAATACATTGAAGTTACAGAGTACACCATATAACTCTAGTTCTTTAACTAGAGCTATATAGCATACTCTGTAAACAGCCCATACATAGTGTGATGGTCATATAAGCAAAGAAACAGGGTGAATATTACACAGATGCATGGTAGTCAAACTTGAGATCCTACATAGGACCCGAAGGGGACTTAATGATGGTGAAGCGTAGGATCATGACTCAGATCGTAAGATCCTACTATATATAATTTTTTTATTAGATATTGAACATGATTCATATATATATAATAGAGTCATATAAGACTTTGGTAGAACATAGTCCTATATTAAAAAAGTATCGAAGTAAGAAATTAATTTGGGTATGAAAGACTAAATAGACAGAACATGTCCTATATTAGTATAATAAAATAGTAGTCATAAATAAATTTAGGTATGCAAGAGTGCAAGACTAACATAGATAGAACAGACTCAACAAAGCCCTGTATTAATTGCTTCGTAATAAAGTAAAAATAGTAAAGCCATAAAATTAATTTAGGTACGTAAGACTTAAATAGGAAGAACATAGAGTCCTATATCATTAATAAAGATAAAAAAATAGTAAAATCATAGATTAAAGTAATACATAGTAGTATACTCCGTAACAAACAAATAAAAAACTAAAAGCATTGTATTGATCAACAAAAGATAAGGTTGCAGCTTAACTAAATAATAACTACTGGAGGTCCATGGAAGGAGAAGGTCGACACAAAAGATAAGGAAGAAGCCCAGGAGGTGACTGTCAACGCAATGCAGCCCTGCAGGTCGACACAGAAGGAGGTCAACCAGATGCAGGCTTGTAGGTCGATGCAAAAGAAGAAGATCGAGGATTCCTGAACAAGGAAGTTTCTCAAATTCACGACAATTATAGCTAATAAATCGCTATCCAGCAGCGCTTCAACGATTCTATGGTGCCGCTCGGCAATCCCACCAATATTGTTTAGTTTACGATTTTCAGTAAAAAAGGGATCGTAGGAGGTAGTGGGGATCGTATAATTGTACGATCCTATGACCTAGGTCGCGTTTTTTACTACTATGCACAGACACGTGTGGCAAATTGATGGTGGCAAAATAACATATTTCAGCCATGCATTTACAACCTTCTTGTATAATTCTGCGTGTATTAGACAGCGGGGGTAGCAAGCATCTAATGAAAAGTATAATCAAACCTGACAAAACAGTATACTACTCATAATTACTTGTAACTTGTATAAGTGTTTTAAAGTAATTACTGGTCATATCCTTCAGAAGTGACTCGAGAGGTTGTTGCAAGGATTCCAGCATTATTTATCAGGAGTTGAATAGAAGGATGCAAATTTGAATCGAGCAGCCACTGTTGAAGTGACCTCTTGAACTTGAAAATCGACTTAAAGGAGGTTACATCAACCTCAAAGGCTTTCAGGCAAACATCAACCCTATTTTTCCTGATATCATATGTAACCTGAAACGAAGTTAGACACAAAAAAAATTGAATGCGGAAATGAAAAAAATGGATTTTTACTTATTAGCAATAACAAAAGGGACCATTATCAAACCTTTGATAGCTGTTCAGATGATCTCCCTACTGCAGTGATAAAAGGAAAATCAAATTGCAGTTTTGGAACAAATGGCAGAAACTAATGCTATTTCCACAATTTCCTCTTCAAATTTGAAACTTAATGAGTCATGACCACTATGAAGCTAAGTTCGTGGATTTAAAGTATTCTTCAGCCCTTAATGCACATGTTTTCTTTTTTTTTTCCTAATACTTTAAACTGCCAAGAGAATGAGCAATAAATAATGAAAGACATACTCTCGAGTTACTTAAACATGACTAATGACATTATCTATTATGGAAATGATTTTACTATGAGGAAACTAGAAAGGTGAAGTACCAAGAACAACATAAAAGCCCTCATTGGCGAATACATTGGCAGCAGCAGCTCCCAAACCAGATGTAGCCTGCATGTGAAACCCAAAACGGCATACTAGTTCATTCCAGCATATAGCACCAAAAATAAATACATATTTTCAATTTGCATCAGAACTGAAACAAGTCATTATATTGATGATGAGAATATACAGAAAATCTACCCCAGTTATTACGCAGATTGGCCTAGTTAGAGATTTTGAGACATATGTACTATCTTTTGGAGAGCAGCGTGGATAGCGTTTAGATTTCTTCAATAAAAAGTTTTGGGAATACAACTTCAAGTAGGAAAAAACCAGAGCAAGGGTCCAGAAGATTGCCATTCTCCAGAATTGCAATGTGTAAATAAAATGCAGACACTCCCTTAACTTCTTCAGTAATCCCATATTGTTTCAGGTCTGTAAAATCAACAAAAGCAGGCACAAGGGACGACTAGGATTAAATTGCAGGCATGAGCTTGGGTGGAAGCAGAATAACACTTGTGGGGGCTAAGAAATACATTAAAACTCAAAATACTGAATTTGTGTATGAGAAATTGTCATAAAAGAAGTATGAGAAATACATAATATTAATATGTCATTCATAGGTGTACGCAGCCCTGAATCGGCCACGGCACCATTTGGATAGAATTTCACCTCGTTAGATCATTTAGAAGACCCACTACACCGCATCACAAATTGTCGTATAGACATAACAAATAAAAAGATACAAAACCCATAAATACATTGTAATATTAATTCGATGATTAATTACATACATATTACAATATAATATAGTGTACTATAAATCATTAGTCTTTTTATTAAATGAAGTTGTTCACACAAGTAAAACAATTTAAATCACTAAAGTAGTTAGACATTATTACCATTATGAAACTTTAAAACCTGAAAATTAAATAATTAAAAGGACAAAAGTTTTAGCTAAAAAAGTAAATCAATCTCAAGTCTAAAGTGCTAAAAAGCTAAATAATACGAAGAAAAAACAAAGTATTTCTCAACATTGTCTCAAAGACTGAAGCGCAACTTATATATATAAATTAATTGCAACCCAAATCTCCCGAAATTGAATAACTAAAACAATAAATCAATCGCAAGCTGCACAACTAAATAATAAACCTGAAACAGTGAAGAGTTGAAGCTCAAGCAAAGACGGCCAGACGCTCGCCGTTCCTCACCCAATCGGCAGACCCAAATCACTCAATCAGCTCCTCACTGCTTCACGTCCTCTTCCCTCGGCCTTTCAGACAATTTCAGCATTTGGGCTCTGGACTGATAACGGCCTCGTTTGGGTTAAGTATAAAAAAATCAGCACTCTTAATTTCAAACCCGCCGATTACAAGCTGCAGCACCAGGTCGGTCATGGAAAACAGGACAGGCAAGGCGGAAGACGAACACGGGCGCCGGCATGAGAGATTGAATTTTCACTGTAAAATATCCTCCCTTCGTCCCCCATAGTGGAGGAGGATAAACAATTTATTCCTTGATTATTTAGAAATTTCAATAAATAAGGCAACTATTTATATATTTAGAAACTATTTCTAAATAAAGGTACTTCAACTTTCCTTTCAAAAAAAAAGTACTTCAACTTTTTGATTATTTTCAATAAATAAAAAAAATACATATTTAGAAACTATATCAAAACCGCTACAGGTCTGTTAAAAAAAATGTAAATTTAATAAAAATTAAAACTGTCAAATAGGTCCTCAAACTTTCATAAAAAAATCAATTAATCTTTCTATATGAGACTTTGTCCGGTCGTCGCGATTTGGGGCGGTTCCCGGTGGAATTTTTTGATGAAATTTTTGGAGCATCTTATTCATCAAGTCTAGTTTACTCATATCAAATTTCAGCTAAAAATTTAACCGGGAGCGCATTCAAATTAATTCGAGAACGCAAAAATGCGCAGTTATCTTCAAGAATTAATTTGAATGTGTTCCCGATTGAATTTTTAGCTGAAATTTGATATGAGTAAACTAGACTTGGTGAATAAGATGCTCAAAAAGTTTTATCAAAAAATTCTATCGGGGACTGCCCCAAATCGCGATGGCCGGACAAAACCTCCTATAGAAGGACTTAATTGACCTTTTTATGAAAGTTCGAGGACCTATTTGATAGTTTTCCCTTAATAAAAATTTGATATATAAGGCAAAAGATTAAGAAGTTGTTCTCTTCACTTGATCTAAATGTTTCTGATCTGAATTTTTTAAGTTGTTATCTGATCTTATCTGATCTGAATCTTTCTGATTTGAATGTTTCTAATCTGATACGAATCCTTCCGATCTGATCTGAATCTTTCTGATCAAATCTGATTTGAATATTTCTATAATTATAATTATAGTTATTAAAATTATAATTGTAATTACAAATATAAATTAAATACAATTATAAAAATATAATAATAATAATTAAAATTAAAATTAAAGTTAAAGTTATAATAAGTACACCTATTAGACTAACTATAACTATAGATACAATTATAATTGTAATTATATTTTTAATTATAATTACTTATATAATTTTTAATTGTAATTATATTATAATATCTATTTCTAAAATTATAATTAAATTTATAATTATAAATATAAATATAATTACCCCTTATAATAATAATAATAATAACAACGATAATAATAATATTAGTAATAATATTAATAATTAAAACTATAATTATAATAGTTATATTAATAATAATATTATTATAAGTTTAGTAATCATAATATAATAATGATAATATTATTATAAGTTTAGTAATCATAATATAATAATGATAATATTATTATAATTATTATATAATATTAATAATAATATATTATTATTTATAATAATACTTTTATTACATTATTACTGTTGTTATAATATTATTATTATTATTAATATTATTATTATTATTATTATTATTATTATTACTAGTATTTCACCCGTGAGTTGCACGATATGTAATATGTATCTATTTTAAATGTTAATTATCAAACATTTACAAATTATAGTATAATTTATCACACAAATGAGAGGAATTATAAATAAATAAATAATAACAAATATTAAGAGTTTAATATATAAGCACACAAATTATAAATTATTGAAGAGAGTTTTTTTTTGTATTTTTTGAATTTGGTCTTTCTTCGTCACATATTCACAAACTTTAAATCAAATGGGTTTGTCACCTTCGAACCCGCAACATAAAATTGTGCTAACGGTTTCCACAAAAGCCTTGGTCTCTAGCCATTTTGAATTTTCACCTTTTTACACTATACTATTCAGCATATTTACATTATTTAAAAATAACCTTCAATCTTTGATTTAAAAAATAACATTATTTAAGCCAATGAGCTGACTGAGAATTTCTAATAAATTAATAAACCAATTAGTCAATTAAGTTGACTAAGAACTTCCATACATGCATGATGCATCCGAAAACCTCTTTTTAGGCATGAATAATTACATGGTTTATTTTTTCCCAATAGAAGTTCTTTTTTTGGACAATTCTTTCTAAAGAAAGAATTGTCCAATAGAAGTTCTTAGTTAACTATTCTCAAGAGAAAATAAAGAATGAGTAATTAGTAATGTAGGAACCTCTACTTTGAGTATGTTTGACATAACTAGTTGAAAAGACACTTTTGTAAGTTTTTTAATAACTGTTAGTTTTTAGTGACTAAAAAGGTCTTAAAAAGAAAAGAAAAGGTGGTAGTTGTTTGGTAAAAAGTTGTCTGTTTGATTTAGTTCGGTTTGGTATACAAGCTGTTAGGACTAATTAGTACTAAAAGTCACGGACTTTTCTCAGATGTTACTCTCCGTGGCATCTCAAAAAAGATCTTTTAATTTTTGAAAAGCTCTTAAAAATTGTCATGTCAAACATACAACTAGAAGCTTTTAAAGACTTATTGAACAGTACAAAAGCTAGAAGGCACGGACTTATGCGTGCCAAACATAGCCTTTATGTCACTTCCAAAAGTCTTATTTTACTTCCTAAATGAACATGTGGATGATCTTAACCTATAATAACAAATGCATATAAATAACCAACTGGGTCACTGTGATGCCTGTAAAAAAACAACTATCCATTTACTCACATAGTGAAACTGTTTCTTTTATTTTTTTGTACATGACCCTTAGTTAATTACATTACTAATTAGTTTAAAAATCTTACCATTTACTAAAGCGACTGTACTTTTTTGTACATTTTGAACAAAAACATGTTGTAAAATATAAAAACTACTAATTAAAAACTTTTTTGTACATTTTGAACAAAAACATGTTGTAAAATATAAAAACTACTAATTAAAAACTTTCGGCATATATTCATTTTTAGTATAGTTTTCCATCAATATGAGAGTCGAGTCATTCCGCCAATATATGTTATTGATATTCTTGCTTTTTCAATAGGTTAAGATGATAATGATTTAAAGATGATCAATCATGTACGTCAAAATTGAATAATATTTTTCTAAAATATATCAATCAATCATTTATTCATGGGAAAGAACTCATATCAACCAATTCTTTAAAAGGCAGATGCACATTAATAACACAACGAAGTAGTTCATTTTGATTTTGCTGATTATTCTAAAGGATGACCATAAAAAATACTCCGTAAAATACATCATATACTAATGGCTGCTATAAATCGTAAAATATATTATAACAGAATTTGATCCAAATTACACTTATTTAGTTTTCTATATCATTTATGTAATCATTTATTCTGGTACATAAATTAGGTAAAGTATGGATTTGTAAAGTCCTATAACAACACAAATGATGGAAGATAGAGAAATACAAATTGAACTGAAAGCAATACCGACCACTTCCATTAGCTACTACCTCCAAGTGAACTAATATATGCTGCAAAAATAATAAAAATGGATTGGATTACTAAGAGGAATCATATGTTAGGATGGATAAATAAGAGAAATATCTAATAGAATGGAGTAATAAGAGGTATCCAGTCTCAAATTACATTGGAATCAATCAACTCATAAAAACGAAGGATTGCAGCTCCTCCGTGAAGTGGATATAATCCGGAAAAATGTACAATGTGGATTTTAAGAGATAGATGTAAAAAATAAAAGTTTGGCAGAAAATGTAAAAGTTTGACAAAAATCATCCAACCCTTCCTCTTCTTGTTTATGGCGTTGAACAATTTCCACGGAATAGATTGAATAGATTTAGGTGTTATCCTTTGGAATTGTCTATACATCTTTGAAGAAATCGATTAGTTCATTATACCTCTGCAGAGCAGTTGAGCTGGAGATGCCGTGTATTATATTTTGCACAGTGCCACAACCTCCCCTCCAATCCTTAAATAAATCAAAGGTCCATCAATGTCTTTTATGTGGTCCATTAATATTATAATTATTATTATATAATATTAATAATAATATATTATTATTTATAATATTACTTTTATTATATTATTACTGTTATTATAATATTATTATTATTAATATATTATTATTATCAATAATATATTGTTTAATAATAATTATTATATAATAGTAATAATATTAATTATAATTAATACTCCCTCCGTCCCAAAATTAACTTCCCGTTCGGTTTACGATGCTTGACTGACGATAAAGCAACTCGATCCCTGCTCACACTCGGATTATTTTTAGTAAATAAAATTTACATATTCAGAAACTACATTAAAACCGCTACAAAGCCTGATCAATAAAATTTAAATTTGATAAAAATTTGATATAAAAAGTAAAAGATTACGAGTGATTCAAGTTGACCAATGAATAGTGAATGGGAAGTTGTTTTTGGGACGGAGGGAGTATAATAATAAAAGTGATAAATCATGTTTGAACTTTTCTGATCTGATTTGATCTGAATGTTTCTGATCTGGTCTGATCTGATCTGAATCTTTCTGATCTAATTTGAATGCTTCTGATCTAATCTGATCCGAATCTTTCTGATCTGATCTGAATTTTTCTGATATGGTTTGATCTGAATAAAATAAGAATAAGAAATAAGTAATAAGAATAAGACAAAGAGAACAACTTATAAAAATGATTTATATTGACCATGTGAATAGTGGATGAGAACATTTGAATGAGATGGAGGTAGTAGCTTAAATTTCATTTTAATTTATACTTGATGGATAGTCTACCCGGGGGGTATCTTATCCGAGGGGTTATTGCGGGAATAACTAGAGAGAAGTCAGAGTAAATAGGAGGAGAGAGAGTCGATTTTATTAAATGAACTCAGCGTGTGGAGTTGAGATGTAGATGTCCATTACAAGGAGAAATGGGCTGCTATTTATAGCAGCAATAAATGCGATGAGAGTACACGTGTCAGTAATCCAACGGCCGAAGGGTCACATCAGCCGGGTGGCACCGGCAGTGGTACGTTCACCGCATTGAATGCGGTTGGCGGATGTGACGTGGCATTAAATGCGGTGGTTGGCTGTCTCCAAAAGGAATCTTCGATGATTGAGCATGTTTGGCCGAAGGCTTCTTGTGTAGCCGAGGGCTCCGTGTAACCAAGGAC